TCTAACCATCAGGTCCTAATGGCCTGGTACTCAGGGCTCTATTGGCCCTCTAACCATCAGGTCCTAATGGCCTGGTACTCAGGGCTCTATTGGCCCTCTAACCATCAGGTCCTAATGGCCTGGTACTCAGGGCTCTATTGGCCCTCTAACCATCAGGTCCTAATGGCCTGGTACTCAGGGCTCTATTTTCCCTCTAACCATCAGGTCCTAATGGCCTGGTACTCAGGGCTCTATTTTCCCTCTAACCATCAGGACGCTAATGGCCTGGTACTCAGGGCTCTATTGGCCCTCTAACCATCAGGTCCTAATGGCCTGGTACTCAGGGCTCTATTTTCCCTCTAACCATCAGGACGCTAATGGCCTGGTACTCAGGGCTCTATTGGCCCTCTAACCATCAGGTCCTAATGGCCTGGTACTCAGGGCTCTATTGGCCCTCTAACCATCAGGTCCTAATGGCCTGGTACTCAGGGCTCTATTGTCCCTCTAACCATCAGGTCCTAATGGCCTGGTACTCAGGGCTCTATTGGCCCTCTAACCATCAGGTCCTAATGGCCTGGTACTCAGGGCTCTATTGTCCCTCTAACCATCATGTCCTAATGGCCTGGTACTCAGGGCTCTATTGGCCCTCTAACCATCAGGTCCTAATGGCCTGGTACTCAGGGCTCTATTGTCCCTCTAACCATCAGGTCCTAATGGCCTGGTACTCAGGGCTCTATTGGCCCTCTAACCATCAGGTCCTAATGGCCTGGTACTCAGGGCTCTATTGGCCCTCTAACCATCAGGTCCTAATGGCCTGGTACTCAGGGCTCTATTGGCCCTCTAACCATCAGGTCCTAATGGCCTGGTACTCAGGGCTCTATTGTCCCTCTAACCATCAGGTCCTAATGGCCTGGTACTCAGGGCTCTATTGGCCCTCTAACCATCAGGTCCTAATGGCCTGGTACTCAGGGCTCTATTGGCCCTCTAACCATCAGGTCCTAATGGCCTGGTACTCAGGGCTCTATTGTCCCTCTAACCATCAGGTCCTAATGGCCTGGTACTCAGGGCTCTATTGTCCCTCTAACCATCAGGTCCTAATGGCCTGGTACTCAGGGCTCTATTGTCCCTCTAACCATCAGGTCCTAATGGCCTGGTACTCAGGGCTCTATTGTCCCTCTAACCACTCTGACATCAATGCAAATACAATCGAAAATCACATCAAACATTTATCATCAAAACAAGTATGTGCTTTTAAAACTCACGTAACTGATGATCAATTTGAAGTAAGAAGTTCAACAACAGGTTGAAACTGAGTGGAAAACATGGTCACTGTGGATGTTGTTTCAAAAGCCTAACAGAACGAAATGGACAGCGCTTTCTAAGGTGATTAATTCAAAACATCCATAAGCATATTAGTGTTTATGCATATTCATAGGCTTCTGAGCCCAAGCCCGGAAAAATCCCCTGAATTAAAATAATGATTGTGCCATTGTACAATACCTAGCCTAGTGCATATTACCCATGGCAGAAACACACAGGCAGTCTTTTAAATGACAATAATCACAGGACAAATTTCATGAACGCCACAACCACCCCTCACACTGTCACTGAACCATAGAGGGACCACAACCACCCGTCACACTGTCACTGAACCATAGAGGGACCACAGCCACCCCTCACACTGTCACTGAACCATAGAGGGACCACAACCACCCCTCACACTGTCACTGAACCATAGAGGGACCACAACCACCCGTCACACTATCACTGAACCATAGAGGGACCACAACCACCCCATCACACTGTCACTGAACCATAGAGGGACCACAACCACCCCTCACACTATCACTGAACCATAGATCAGGGGTGTCAAACTCATGGGCCGTGTGTCTGTGGGTTTTAGTTTTTTCCTTTCAATTAAGACCTAAACAACCAGGTGAGGGGAGTTCTTAACTAATTAGTGACCTTAATTCATCAATCAAGTCCAAGGGAGGAGTGAAACCCCCCAGACACTCTGCCCTCCTCCGTGGGATGAGTTGGGAGGAGTGAACCCCCCAGACACTCGGCCCTCCGTGGGATGACTTGGGAGGAGTGAACCCCCCAGACACTCGGCCCTCCGTGGGATGAGTTGGGAGGAGTGAACCCCCCAGACACTCGGCCCTCCGTGGGATGAGTTGGGAGGAGTGAAACCCCCAGACACTCGGCCCTCCGTGGGATGAGTTGGGAGGAGTGAAACCCCCAGACACTCGGCCCTCCGTGGGATGAGTTGGGAGGAGTGAAACCCCCAGACACTCGGCCCTCCGTGGGATGAGTTGGGAGGAGGAGTGAACCCCGCAGACACTCGGCCCTCCGTGGGATGAGTTGGGAGGAGTGAAACCCCCAGACACTCGGCCCTCCGTGGGATGAGTTGGGTTTCCGTGGGATGAGTTGGGAGGAGTGAAACCCCCAGACACTCGGCCCTCCGTGGGATGAGTTGGGAGGAGTGAACCCCGCAGACACTCGGTCCTCCGTGGGATGAGTTGGGAGGAGTAAACCCCGCAGACACTCGGCCCTCCGTGGGATGAGTTGGGAGGAGTGAAACCCCCAGACACTCGGCCCTCCGTGGGATGAGTTGGGAGGAGGAGTGAAACCCCCAGACACTCGGCCCTCCGTGGGATGAGTTGGGAGGAGTGAAACCCCCAGACACTCGGTCCTCCGTGGGATGAGTTGGGAGGAGTGAAACCCGCAGACACTCGGTCCTCCGTGGGATGAGTTGGGAGGAGTAAACCCCGCAGACACTCTGCCCTCCGTGGGATGAGTTGGGAGGAGTGAAACCCTGCAGACACTCGGCCCTCCGTGGGATGAGTTGGACATGTGTGCCATAGATGGTCAGCTCTAGGACCGGGTCTAGCTTGCGCGAAATTTCAAACCATTGTGGATAATTTTCGTGAACGTTTTAGTTGTGTGCATACCTGAAGTTAGGGTTCAGCCCTTAGAGGTAATTGTTGAATGCATGTGCTCTCCTTTCCTGCTCTCCTCTCCTCTCCTCTCCTCTCCTCTCCTCTCCTCTCCTCTCCTCTCCTCTCCTCTCCTCTCCTCTCCTCTCCTCTCCTCTCCTCTTCTCTCCTCCTGTCCTTTTCCAGGTGATCCAGCAGACAAAAACAGGTGATGCTGAGCTGGAGCTCTTCCCGCGCTACCTCCTCTTCCTGCGGCAGCAGGCCGCCACGCGCACCCCCCAGTCCAACATCTGGGTTAACATGGGTATGACCAGCCTGAGAATGTTCCCCCAGCACCTCCCCAGAGGTAACGTAAGCCTGCAGCAAGAAAGAAAGACGGCCTGCTAGGAGCCGCCAAACTACTACTACTACTACTACTACTACTACTACTACTACTACTACTACTACTTACTACTGCTGCTGCTGCTGCTTACTACTACTACTAATACTACTACTAACTGCTGCTGCTACTACTACTACTACCTGGCTGCTGGCTATCTACTACTTACTACTACTACTGGCTGCTGCTACACTCTACTGTTACTGCTACTGCTGCTGCTACTACTACTACCTACTACTACTACTACTAGGCACTACGAACTCTACCGCTACTACTCCTCGACCGGCTGCTACTACTGCCTACTACTACTACTACTACCTGCTACTACTACTACTAAACCCGCTGCTACTACTGACTACTACTGACTACTACTACTACTACCTACTACTACCAGTGCTACTACTACTCCTACTACTACCGCTACTACCGGCTCACTACTACTACGTACTACTACCGCTGGAATACTACTACTACCCACTTCTACTACTAACTAAGATGCTAACTACTCTACTATCTACTACCACCTGCTATACTACTACTACTACTACTACTACTCTCTCTTACTACACTACTTACTACTACTACTACCTACTACCGCTGCTAACTACTACTACTACCCTACCCCTCTACTACTACTACTACTACTACTACTACCCGCTGCTACTACTACTACTCTGCTGCTACTACTACTATATCTACTGTACTCTATCTACTACTACTGCTACTACTCTAACCTCTACTACTACTACTACTACTACGCTGCTACTTGACTACTACTACTACTTCTACTACTATACTATACTGCTACTATACTACCCTACCACTTAGAATACTGGTCACAGAAATGTCCATGATCATATTTTGTTATTTTTTTAGCACTAACTAACTCTCTACTGCTCCTATACACACTCACTAGCTTACACTACACCTGCTGACTTTACCTACACTCACTAGCTTACCTACCACACTCACTAGCTGTACCTACACACTCACTAGACTTTACTACACACTCACTAGACTTACTACACACTACTAGACTTTACCTACAACTCACTACGACTTTACCTACACACTCACTAGACTTTAATACACACTCACTAGACTTTACCTACACACTCACTAGACTTTACCTACACACTCACTAGACTTTACCTACACACTCACTAGACTTTACCTACACACTCACTAGACTTTACCTACAAACTCACACATCCTACACTGACACTCCAACACACACACACACTCACACACTCCTACTCACCTACTACACACACACTCACTAGACTGTTACTACACACTCATAATCTTTACACTACACTCACTAACACTCTACACTACACATCCTACACTACACTCACACACACACTCACTGACTTTACCTACACACTCACACATCCTACACTGACACCAACACCACACACGACACTCACACTCACACATCCTACACTGACACTCCAACTACACACACACATCACACATCTCACACTACACACTCACTAGACTTTACCTACACACTCACACACTACTACACACACACCCACTTACTACACACTCACTAGACTTTACCTACACACTCACTACATCCTACACTGACACTCCAACACACACACTCACACATCCTACACACACACACACACACACTCACTAGACTTTACCTACACACTCACACATCCTACACTGACACTCCACACACCACTCACACACCTACACCAACACACACCTCACAATCCTACAACCTGACACATACCTACACCACACACAACACACTCACACTCACACATCCTACCTGACACTCCAACACACACACACACTCACACTCACACATCCCACACTGACACTCCAACACACACACTCACACATCCTACACACACACACACACACACTCACTAGACTTTACCTACACACTCACACATCCTACACTGACACTCCACAACACACACACCACACACACACACACTCTACACCACCTACACTGACTTTACTCCAACACACCACCACACTCACACTCACACACCTACACGACACTCCAACACACACACACACTCACACATCCTACACACACACTCACTAGACTTTACCTACACACTCACACATACTACACACACACACACACACACTCACTAGACTTTACCTACACACTCACACATCCTACACTGACACTCCAACACACACACTCACACATCCTACACACACACACACACACACTCACTAGACTTTACCTACACACTCACACATCCTACACTGACACTCCAACACACACACACACACACACACACTCTCACACATCCTACACTGACACTCCAACACACACACACACTCACACTCACCATCTACACTGGACACTCAACACCACCACACTCACCTCACACTCCACACTACACTCCAACTACTACACACTCACACATCACTACACACACACACACACTCACTAACTTTACCTACACACTACACTCACTGACACTCACACACCAACTCCAACCACACACAACTACACTCACACTACACCTCACACATCCTACACTGACACTCCACACACACACACACCTACACCTCACATCCTACCTGACACTCCAAACCACACACTACACTCAACACACTCACTACTACACACTACTCCACTGACTACCTACACACTCACACATACAACTACACACTACTACTACTACACCTACTACACACTCACTAACTACTACACACTCTACACATCCTACACTGACACTCAACACACACACACTCACACATTCCTACACACACACTACACTACACATCACTGAACTACCTACACACTCCACTCCTACACTGACACTCCAACACACTCAACTACCACACACACAGCAATTCACACTCCACTGCACTCTACACTACCTCACACTCACCACTCACACATCCTACACTGACACTCTCACTACCACACACACTCACACTCACTACATCCTACACTGACACTCCACAACCACCACACACTCACACATCTACACTGACACTCCACACACACACCACACACTACATCCTACACTGACACTCCACACACACACACTACACTCACACATCTACACTGACTACTACTACACACACCTAACCCCCACCACTTACACATCCTACACTGACATCCAACACACACCACGACCACACTCTCACATCCTATCATGACACTCACACACACACATCCCACACTCAGCACTCCTACATGACACCCAACACACACACACACCAACACTCACACACTCCTACCTGACCACTCACAACCACAACACACACACTCACAGCATCTACACTGACACTCCAACACACACACCAACACACTCACACACATCCTACACTGACACCCAACACACTACCTACACACACTCACACATCCTTACCTGACACACTCCACAACACACACCTACACATCTCACTGACCTCCACACCACACACACACATCTCACACACCTACTACCTCCAACCACACACACCTACCTACACACATCCTACACTACACCCAACACACACACCACACAACACACACTCACACATCCTACACTGAACTCCAACACACACACACCACCTCACAATCCTACACTGACACTCCAACACACACACACCTCACACATCCTACACTGACACCCAACACACACACACACTCACATCCACACGACTCACCTACACACTCACACAACCATCACACTGACACTCCACACACACCACACCTCACCATACACACACACACCCCACACCTCACACATCCTACACTGACACTCCAACACACACACACACCACACTCACACATCCTACACTGACACTCCAACACACACACACCCACACTCACACATCCTACACTGACCACTCCAACACACACACACACCACACACTCCTACACTGACACTCCACACAACACACACACACACTCACACTCCTACCGACACTTCCAACACAACACACACACACTCAACATCCTACACTGACACTCCAAACACACACACTCACACATCCTACACGACACTCACACCACACACACACACTACTCACACATCCTACACTAACTCCAACCACACACACACTCACACATCCTACACTGACACTCCAACACACACACACACACACTCACACATCCTACACTGACACTCCAACACACACACACACTCACACTCACACATCCTACACTGACACTCCAACACACACACACACCCTCACACATCCTACACTGACACCCACACACCAACGACCCCACTCACACATTCCTAACAGTTCTGACACTCCACACACATCACACCACACTCACACATCCCGACACTGCCACTCCAACACACACACACACACCCACACAATCCACACTTACACTCCAACCCCACACCCACCACCGTCTCAAATCCTACACTGACACTCCAACACCCACACACACCACACACAGCTCCAACATCCCATCCTACACTGACACTGCCTCCAACCACACACACACACAACACCCACACATCCTACCTGAAACTTCCAACACGACACACACACACACCTCACACATCCTACACTGACACTCCAACACACACACCACACACACTCACACACATCCTACACTGACAACTCAACACACACACACACACACTCACACATCCTTACACTGACTTACGACTCCAAACACCACACACATCAACACCACACATCGAACACTGACACTCCAACACACACCACGCCACACCTACTCACGACATCCTACCTTACACCCAATAACCCCACACACACACACTCACACATCCTACACTGACACTCCAACACACACACACACACATCACAATCCTACACTACACTCCAACAACACACACACCACACTCACACATCCTACACTGACACTCCAACACCACACACACCACACTCACACATCCTACACTGACACTCCACACACACCACAACACACACTCACCACATCCTACACTGACACTCCAACACACACACACACACCACATCCACACCTCACACAATCCTAACACTGACACTCCAACACACACACACCACACTCACACATCCTACACTGACACTCCAACACACACACACACACACACTCACACATCCTACACTGACACTCCAACACACACACACACACACTCACACATCCTACACTGACACTCCAACACCACACACACACACACTCACACATCCTACACTGACACTCCAACACACACACACACACACTCACACATCCTACACTGACACTCCAACACACACACACACCACTCACACATCCTACACTGACACTCCAACACACACACACACACTCACTCACACATCCTACACTCACACATCCTACACACACACACACACACTCACACATCCTACACTCACACATCCTACACACACACACACACACATACATACTTCACACGCTGCTGCTACTTTATTTATTATATACTATCTATACAGCAGTATGTGGACAGCCCTTCAAATGAGTTGATTTGGATATTTCAGCCACACCCGTTGCTGACAGGTATAAAATCGAGCACATTGCCATGCAATCTCCATAGACGAACATCGGCAGTAGAATGGCCTTACTGAAGAGCTCAGTGACTTTCAACGTGGCACCGACATAGGATGCCACCTTTCCAACAAGTCAGTGTGTCAAATGTCTGTCCTGCTAGAGCTGCCCCGGTCAACTGTAAGTGCTGTCATTGTGAAGTGGAAACGTCTAGGAGCAACAACGGCTCAGCCGCAAAGTGGTTGGCCACACAAGCTCACAGAACGGGACCGCCGAGTGCTGAAGCGCGTAGCAAGTAAAAGTTGTCTGTCCTCGGTTGCAACACTCACTACCGAGTTCCTAACTGCCTCTGGAAGCAACGTCAGCACAAGAACTGTTAGTCCGGAGCTTCATGAAATGGGTGTCCATGGCTGAGCAGCCGCACACAAGCCTAAGATCACCGTGTGCAATGCCAAGCGTCAGCTGGAGTGGTGTAAAGCTCGCCGCCATTGGACTCTGGAGCAGTGGAAACGCGTTCTCTGGAGTGATGAATCACGCTTCACCAGGAGATGCCAGGAGAACGCTGCCTGCCCCAATGCATAGTGCCAACTGTAAAGTTTGGTGGAGGAGGAATAATGGTCTGGGGCTGTTTTTCATGGTTCGGGCTAGGCCCCTTAGTTCCAGTGAAGGGAAATCTTAACGCTACAGCATACAATGACATTCTAGACGATTCTGTGCTTCCAACTTTGTGGCAACAGTTTGGGGAAGGCCCTTCCCTGTCTCAGCATGACAATGCCCCCGTGCACAAAACGAGGTCCATACAGAAATGGTTTGTCGAGATCAGTGTGGAAGAACTTGACTGACCTGCACAGAGCCCTGACATCAACTCCATCGAACACCTTTGGGATGAATTGGAACGCAGACTGTGAGCCAGGCCTAATCGCCCAAGATCAGTGCCGTCCTCACTAATGCTCTTGTGGCTGAATGGAAGCGAGTCCCCGAAGCAATTTTCCAACATCTAGTGGAAAACCTTCCCAGAAGAGTGTTATAGCAGCAAAGGTGGGACATTTTACATTTACATTTTAGTCATTTAGCAGACGCTCTTATCCAGAGCGACTTACAGTTAGTGAGTGCATACATTATATATACATCTTTTTTTTTTCATACGGGCCCCCCCCCCCGTGGGAATCGAACCCACAACCCTGGCGTTGCAAGCGCCATGCTCTACCAACTGAGCTACACGGGGCCTGGGACATTTACATTTACATTTTAGTCATTTAGCAGACGCTCTTATCCAGAGCGACTTACAGTTAGTGAGTGCATACATTATATATATATATTTTTTTCATACTGCCCCCCCCCCCGTGGGAATCGAACCCACAACCCTGGCGTTGCAAACGCCATGCTCTACCAACATCCCCTGCCGGCCATTCCCTCCCCTACCCTGGACGACGCTGGGCCAATTGTGCGCCGCCCCATGGGTCTCCCGGTCGCGGCCGGCTACGACAGAGCCTGGATTCGAACCAGGATCTCTAGTGGCACAGCTAGCACTGCGATGCAGTGCTTTAGACCACTGCGCCACTCGGGAGACCAACTCCATATTAATGCCCATGATTTTGGAATGAGATGTTGGACGAGCAGGTGTCAGCATAGTTTTGGTCATGTAGTGTATATCCTGATTGGCTGGTCACTTTTACCCCTATCTACATGCATAGCCGCGGGAAGTAGTTTAGGGGGTCCTAAAAAAAAAATAAAGTTGTGATTTTTTCAGGGTGTGCTGCAGAACCCTCTGCATCCCTACTTCCCGTGGCTATTCCTCCATATTAGCTCAATTACCTCGACTTACCCGGACCCCTGCACATTGACTCGGTACACATTGACTCTTTGTAATATAGCCTGTTATTTCATTTTGCTACTATTATTTTTATTTGTAAATATTTTTTCTTTTTAACTCTGCATTGTTTGGAAAGGGCTCGTAAGTTAGCATTTCACGGTAAAGTCTACACCGGTTGTATTCGGCGCATGTGACCAATGAAATGTGATTTGATAGGGATGATATGGGCGCTCACTGACCATACTAAAAGACCCTGAGAACCTAAAGTGTATTATTCTGTCTGCGTAGCCTTGTTGTTGTCAGAACAGTGGTGTTATAAATCTTGACTCCCCCTTCGTAAAGCCCACACACAGTAAAGGTGTTATAATGATGACATAACAGAAACGGTAAACAACAGCTGATGACAATGCTATCCAATTAGCCTACTTAAACAGATTAGTGACTGGGAAAGGTAAAGGGGGATACCTCGTCAGTTGTACAACTGAATGCATTCAACTGAAATGTGTCTTCCGCATTTAACCCAACCCCTCTGAATCAGAGAGGTGCGGAGAGCTGCCTTAATCGACATCCATGTCTTTGGCGCCCGGGGAACAGTGGGTTAACTGCCTTGCACAGGGGCAGAACGAGCTCGGGGATTCGATCCAGCAACCTTTCGGTCACTGGCCCAACGCTCCTGTGTTTAAGTCTGGTGCGGTAAGCCCACGGCAGCTTATTCCATCTCTTATGCCATCATGGCAGTATGATGTAGGCCACACCATGGGGTGCCATGTCACATGTAAACTAAATTATTATATCGATTTCTGTTATAGTATATAGATATTATAGATTATATATTGTTATATATTTTTATTTCTAGTTAGTCAAGTCTGTAGTTTTGAGGCGATTTATGTGACTGAACCTCCGCTAATGTCGAAAGGGCATAAATCAGACACGTAGCTCTGTGGTAGCAGACGGGTAGCTCTGTGGTAGCAGACAGGTAGCTCTGTGGTAGCAGACAGGTAGCTCTGTGGTAGCAGGCAGGTAGCTCTGTGGTAGCAGACGGGTAGCTCTGTGGTAGCAGACGGGTAGCTCTGTGGTAGCAGGCGGGTAGCTCTGTGGTAGCAGGCGGGTAGCTCTGTGGTAGCAGGCGGGTAGCTCTGTGCTAGCAGGCAGGTAGCTCTGTGGTAGCAGGCAGGTAGCTCTGTGGTAGCAGACAGGTCGCTCTGTGGTAATCAGATTGGGGACGCGCTGCACAGAGGCACTATGAGACTATTAGAGTGCTGATCTAATCGGACCGGTGTTATCAGATATCTGGCCAGAGGAGTTAGTTTGGCTCCGGTCAATAATACCAGCTGACCAGGCATAGAAATAATACCACATATAATATAATATGCCATTTACCAGACGCTTTTATCCAAAGCGACTTAGTCATGCTGCATACATTTTACGTATTGGTGGCCTCAGCGGGAATCGAACCCACAATCGTTGGTGTTGCAAGGCGCCATAGAATGACTAGACCAGCCACACTGAAAAAAGAGCGAGGCTGTGTTGCTGGGAGAAGGGGCTGTTCACGGCTTTGATTCCCACTTTCCCTTTCATTTTGCTTTCAAAGTATTGGCAAAGTATTACCAATCGATCACATATTAAGATTGGTGTTTTTGGCTTTTCTTTTAAAACCAATCAGTTCCGTTTGTTTTTATTAGTTGTTTATTAACTGAACTAATATAGACTTTTGTTTCCTTTTTGATTGAAAGCATTTTAATTTAATGAATCAGTCTGTATTAATTAAACAACCTCATCTAAAACACCCTTTCTTGCTGCTTCCTTACAACTAATCCTCCATGAGCTAAAATATTATTTATCTCTCTGTGTTGATTTAACTCATTTTCTAAAAGTAAATGTGAGTCTGTGTGTGAGTCTGTGTGAGAGAGTATTTTACAGTATTACAGGACTTTTCAGTAATTCTAATGAGTTTGGGAGCTCATAGTCCACTAAAGGCTGGAGTGTTCTCCCCCTTCCTCCCCTGTCTCCTCCTCCTTGCCTCTTCATCCTCCCTCTCCCTCCCCCTCTCTCCCCCTCCAGGTAACGTGCCCTCCCCCAACGCTCCTCTGAAGCGGGTCCTGGCCTATACAGGCTGTTTCAGCCGCGTGGGAACCATCAAGGACATCCACCTGTACCTGTCTCAGAGGCTCCGCATCAAAGACCAGGACATGAGGCTGTGGCTCTACAACGGCGAGGTGTGTGTGTATTCTTGAGCAACTATCGCATGTTGAACACTACAAAATAAGTGATATTACGGTGACATGATTAAATATGAACTCCTCATCCAAACCTCCCCCCAGAACTATCTGACCCTGTTCTCCCCCCCCCAGAACTATCTGACCCTGTTCTCCTCCCCCCCAGAACTATCTGACCCTGTTCTCCTCCCCCCAGAACTATCTGACCCTGTTCTCCTCCCCCCCCCCCCCCCAGAACTATCTGACCCAGTTCTCCTCCCACCAGAACAATCTGACCCTGTTGGATGATGAGGACCACACTCTGGAGGGTCTGAAGATCCAGGACAAGCAGCACTTAGTTATCGAGGGTACGTTCAAAAAGACGCTTAGTTATCGAGGGTACGTTCAAAAAGACGCTTAGTTATCGAGGGTACGTTCAAAAAGACGCTTAGTTATCGAGGGGACGTAAAAAAAATACACTTAGTTATCGAGGGTATGTTCAAAAAGATGCTTTGTTATCGAGGGTACGTAAAAAAATACACTTAGTTGTCGAGGGTACGTTCAAAAAGATGCTTTGTTATCGAGGGTACGTTCAAAAAAGATGCTTTGTTATCGAGGGTACGTTCAAAAAGATGCTTTGTTATCGAGGGTACGTTCAGGAAGACGCTTAGTTATCGAGGGTACGTTCAAAAAAGCACTTAGTTGTCGAGGGTACATTCAAAAAGACACTTAGTTATCGAGGGGACGTTCAAAAAGACACGTAGTTATCGAGGGGATGTTCAAAAAGACGCTTAGTTATCGAGGGGACGTTCAAAAAGACACTTATCGAGGGGACGTTCAAAAAGACACTTATCGAGGGGACGGTCAAAAAGACAGTTGTCGAGGGGACGTTCAAAAAGACACTTAGTTATCGAGGGGACGTTCAAAAAGACACTTAGTTATCGACGGGACGTTCAAAAAGACAGTTATCGAGGGGACGTTCACAAAGACACGTAGTTATCGAGGGGACGTTCAAAAAGACACGTAGTTATCGAGGGGACGTTAAAAAAGACAGTTATCGAGGGTACGGTCAAAAAGACACTTAGTTGTCGAGGGTACGTTCAAAAAGACACTTAGTTATCGAGGGGACGTTCACAAAGACACGTAGTTATCGAGGGGACGTTCAAAAAGACACGTAGTTATCGAGGGGACGTTAAAAAAGACACGTAGTTATCGAGGGGACGTTCAAAAAGACACGTAGTTATCGAGGGGACGTTAAAAAAGACAGTTATCGAGGGTACGGTCAAAAAGACACTTAGTTGTCGAGGGTACGTTCACAAAGATGCTTAGTTATCGAGGGGACGGTCAAAAAGACACTTAGTTATCGAGTGTACGTTCAAAAAGACACTTAGATGTCGAGGGTACGTTCAAAAAGATGCTTAGTTATCGAGGGTACGGTCAAAAAGACACTTATCGAGGGTAATTCAAAAATACACATAGTTGTCGAGGGTACGTTCAAAAAGACACTTAGTTATCGAGGGGACGGTCAAAAAGACACTTAGTTATCGAGTGTACGTTCAAAAAGACACTTAGATGTCGAGGGTACGTTCAAAAAGATGCTTAGTTATCGAGGGTACGTTCAAAAAGACACTTATTGAGGGGAAGTTCAAAAAGACACTTATCGAGGGTACGTTCAAAAAGACAGTTGTCGAGGGGACGTTCAAAAATACACTTAGTTATCGAGGGGACGTTCAAAAGACACTTAGTTATCGAGGGGACGTTCAAAAGACACTTAGTTATCGAGGAGACGTTCAAAAAGACACTTAGTTATCGAGGGGACGTTCAAAAAGACACTTAGTTGTCGAGGGTACGTTCAAAAAGACACTTAGTTGTCGAGGGGACGTTCAAAAAGACACTTAGTTGTCGAGGGTACGTTCAAAAAGACACTTGGTTGTCGAGGGTACGTTCAAAAAGACACTTAGTTGTCGAGGGTACGTTCAAAAAGATGCTTAGTTATCGAGGGTACGTTCAAAAAGACACTTATCGAGGGGACGTTCAAAAAGACACTTATCGAGGGTACGGTCAAAAAGACACTTAGTTATCGAGGGGACGTTCTAAAAGACACTTAGTTATCGAGGGGACGTTCAAAAAGACACTTAGTTATCGAGGGTACGGTCAAAAAGACAGTTATCGAGGGGACGTTCATAAAGACACTTATCGAGGGTACGTTCAAAAAGACAGTTAGTTGTCGAGGGTACGTTCAAAAAGACACTTAGTTGTCGAGGGTACGTTCAGAAAGACACTTAGTTGTCGAGGGGACGTTCAAAAAGACACGTAGTTATCGAGGGTACGTTCAAAAAGACACTTAGTTGTCGAGGGTACGTTCAAAAAGACACTTAGTTGTCTAGGGTACGTTCAAAAAGACACTTAGTTGTCGAGGGGACGTTCAAAAATACTTTTCAGCACTAGAATTAAAAATGTTATCTGACTGCTTAGTGTGTTGAAATGTAAAAAAATAAAAACTGACTGCAAAGAGAAGCTAAAAGTAGCAGGTCTTTGTACTGTAAGTCATTGATCTGTAAAACGGTCCTCTTGTGTTTTTAGTTCGGAACAAAGACATGAGCTGGCCAGAAGAGATGTCCTTCATCGCTAACAGCAGTAAAATGGACCAACATAAAGGTACCGCAGGACGGTGTCACTGAGATCATCACACTTTACATTCACAAGCACCTTCTACCAGTACGTTGGTACATACATTTACAATGCAGTTATCAACAGCTTTCACTTTCAATATTCAGGATGATAGATTTACGTCTCTACCCTCCCTCCCCTTCTCCCCGAAAACCTTTCAAACATATGTGTAATACTGTAAATATGTAGTGTAATAGTGTTACATGTCTATCCCCCCCCCCAGTTCCTACGGAGAAGGGTGCCACGGGCCTCAGTAACCTAGGCAACACGTGCTTTATGAACTCTAGTATCCAGTGTGTGAGCAACACCACGCCCCTCACTGATTACTTCATCTCAGGGAGACACCTTTATGAACTCAACAGGTAGCTTGTGTGTGTGTGTGTGTGTGTGTGTGTGTGTGTGTGTGTGTGTCTGTGTCTGTGTCTGTGTCTGTGTGTCTGTGTGTGTGTATTCATGCGTGTGTTGTGAAAAGGTGAACAGCTTGTTGGATAGCATTACTGATTTATGTTGTGTGTCCAGAACCAACCCCATCGGGATGCGAGGTCACATGGCTAAATGCTATGGAGACCTGCTGATGGAGCTGTGGAGTGGAACTCAGAAGAACGTTGCTCCTCTCAAACTCAGGGTGGGTTTATAAATGTTTCTCTGGACCATAAGATGGCATGGATTGTTACAACAACAGTGGATGTGATATCCTTACTCCCTGTAGTGGACAATGGCTTGGTACTATGGCCCTTTAATAACTCCATATGTGATATGAATTAATTGACTGATATGTGGTTGTCTCATTCAGTGTTTTCTGTAAGTGCCGGCTATCCACTAAACAGCCAATTACAGACTTGTCAGCCGGCTACTTTTTCCACTTGATTAATTAACTAGGCTTCTTTTCATTTAAAAGTTTCAATTCGCCTGTCAGGAATGCCTTCATAGCTTTCTCCCGCTAGAATGAACAATATGCATATTCTAGTGATCTATTGATAGGACAGGCGCCTGTCAGTCACAAAGCGAGCGATGACAGGGAAGCTGCTGGTTTGTCAGTCTGCTGTCTGTCCCGCCTCTCGGTACCTGTTATTTTTTTTTAGTGCGCTCTGGTTGGCAGCGGTCAGATGTATTTTTACGGAGGAAGGAGAGCATGATGCTTCTTTATCATGTCCTGTGAGTGAATTAGCACGTCCCATTTAATGTAAGCGGTAACGATGAGTCAATCCTCTTACCCTAATTATTGTTTTCTGACACTTTCATTTATTTTCTATAACCAGCCACGGAGTCGTGGTGTATAGTAGACTATTTACTGTGTGTTTTATTGACAACCGAACAGCAAGCGTTGACTAGTTTATAAAAGGTGTCTAACTGCCTGAATAAAGTCAATCTCCTATACCCCTTTGCTATTCGTAAATCATACCATGGTATCTCATCAGGACAGTAAACCAAAGATATTGTCTGTATTGTCCTAGGATTGGAAGCCCATGTGGTGACATGCCGGTGACTCGTCAGTGTAGCCCAGAGATGGCTGTCTGTTTGAACTGATCTAATAATAATAATAATAATATGCCATTTAGCAGACGCTTTTATCCAAAGCGACTTACAGTCATGCGTGCATACATTTTTGTGTATGGGTGGTCCCGGGGATCGAACCCACTACCTTGGCGTTACAAGCGCCGTGCTCTACCAGCTGAGCTACAGAGGAGCTACAGAGGACCACGATCTTTTAGGTGAACGGAGCAAAAATCGCATCGGTCAGAGAGCCGTTCATTTGGCTCCCCAATCTGCATTACTGATAGGCTACTAATGCTTTTTCGGCGACTATCTGCAGATTTTATAAATGGTGAAAACGTTCGATGAAGATGGTGAATCCTCACTGCAGGTAGAGGAGAGCGATCCTCATTGTGGTCCGAAATATGATAAAATAATACTGATTTGAAGGTTCTAAAAGCTAATGTCATGATACTCATACGGTAGTATTAAAGACATTGATATAGGACTACTGATTGGATTAAAGACATTGATATAGGACTACTGGTATTATTAAAGACATTGATATAGGACTACTGATTTGATTAAAGTGTCGACAATGGAGTAGTCTGCTGCTGCTTTCTGTGATGCAAAGCCCATGTTAAGCACCTGCTTCATTCTTCAATCATACCTGTAGGTATATTTAGGGATGCTGCACCCCCACTTTTATACAATCTGGCAGGGGGGTCTGGGGTCCTCCTCCCCCTGAACAATTTTGCATTTTCCTGTAATTCTATATTGTTTTCTCAACAGGGAATCCCATGTTTACTTGACAGAACACAACCGTTTTGCTTAGGTTTTGATTGATTGACAGGCCAAACTGTTAAAGGGTTTCCTTACTGTAAGTGCCCACAGCAGCAGAGCCAATAAAAAAAACATCATTTGAAGAACAAACATCATTGTGGCAATTCATATCTTGCAGTAAAACTGTAAATATGACTTTAATCTCAAGAGAAGACAGGTTAAATGTTAAAAAGGTTTAATGTTCTCTTACTTAGATCATATAGTCCTGATCGTATAGTCCTAGACCTAGACGACATCCAGAACAACTAACAACACACTGAATTCAGACGTTTTCAGTCATTTTAATTGTAAAGTCATGTCTTCCTTCTCTATATACCATAACATATTTGACCAATCTGGGAGGTAAAGTCGTTAAAGTATTCAATCATTTGGCTGTGTATTTCAGATGGAATCAAGACATTAGAATGTACCAGAGGCCACCAAAATAGAGCTGTTTCTGCAAAAAGAAAGATAAATGGGAGGTCCCTTGGCTGGCTACTCCATGTACTAAAGACACTGCTCATCCTCCTGTAGTGGACGGTAGTAAAGTAGAAAGTAGATGTCCGTGAAACTGTCACCTTAATAACTTGGGGTTTCCATTCTCCCCCCTGTAGTGGACGATGGCTTGTACTATGGTCTTAATTACTCCGAATGGCTGCGTTTACACAGGCAGCCCAATTCTGATATTTTTTTCACTCATTTTGTCTTTTGACCTATCTGATCAGCTCTGAAAAAGATCTAATGTGAAAAGATCTGATGTGAATTGTCAAAATATCAGAATTGGTCTACTTGTCTTGACTAATATTTGGTTCTCACTACCGCCCCCTGTAGTGGACTATAGCGAAGTACGCCCCGCGGTTCAACGGCTTCCAGCAGCAGGACAGTCAGGAGCTCCTGGCGTTCCTATTGGACGGGCTCCATGAGGACCTGAACAGGGTGCATGAGAAACCCTATGTAGAGCTGAAGGACAGCAACGGACGACCCGACTGGGAGGTCGCGTCAGAGGTCAGAGTTAAATCAATAAGCCAATCAAACACACGTGCACACACACACACACACACACACACACACATACACACACAGGCATAAACACTCAAATACACACACACACACATCTACACACACAGCCAATCAACCAACACGTACAACCAATCAATCAATCTTTATTTTCCCTGAGAGAGTTCCCCCAAAAATGTTTTGGGGGAAATTGATCAGAGGGCCCCCAGTTGCCAATTCCTGATCTTAGGTGACTTAGAGACCAGGGGAGAGGAGAGAGGACAGTCCATCTTAGGTGACTTGGAGACCAGGGGAGAGGAGAGAGGACAGTCCAGCTTAGGTGACTTGGAGACCAGGGGAGAGGAGAGAGGACAGTCCATCTTAGGTGACTTAGAGACCAGGGGAGAGGAGAGAGGACAGTCCATCTTAGGTGACTTAGAGACCAGGGGAGAGGAGAGAGGACAGTCCATCTTAGGTGACTTAGAGACCAGGGGAGAGGAGAGAGGACAGTCCAGCTTAGGTGACTTAGAGACCAGGGGAGAGGAGAGAGTCAATAAAAGTTGATCCATCCACTAAGCACTTCTTAAGGAGTGGATAACCTGTAGTGGGTGTGTATTGGTGTACAGGTAATGGGAAGAGGATAAAAGTGAGCGTGTGTGTGATCCTAGGAGGGATTAGCAGGATTCGTGCTGTGTGTGTTTTACGTCCCTCTGTGTTTCTGTGTGTTTTACGTCCCTCTATGTTTCTGTGTGTTTTACGTCCCTCTGTGTTTCTGTGTGTTTTACGTCCCTCTATGTTTCTGTGTGTTTTACGTCCCTCTGTGTTTCTGTGTGTTTTACGTCCCTCTATGTTTCTGTGTGTTGTACGTCCCTCTGTGTTTCTGTGTGTTTTACGTCTCTGTGTTTCTGTGTGTTTTACGTCCCTCTGTGTTTCTGTGTGTTTTACGTCCCTCTATGTTTCTGTGTGTTTTACGTCCCTCTGTGTTTCTGTGTGTTTTACGTCCCTCTATGTTTCTGTGTGTTGTACGTCCCTCTGTGTTTCTGTGTGTTTTACGTCCCTCTATGTTTCTGTGTGTTTTACGTCCCTCTGTGTTTCTGTGTGTTTTACGTCTCTGTGTTTCTGTGTGTTTTACGTCTCTGTGTTTCTGTGTGTTTTACGTCCCTCTGTGTTTCTGTGTGTTTTACGTCTCTGTGTTTCTGTGTGTTTTACGTCCCTCTATGTTTCTGTGTGTTTTACGTCCCTCTGTGTTTCTGTGTGTTTTACGTCCCTCTGTGTTTCTGTGTGTTTTACGTCCCTCTATGTTTCTGTGTGTTTTACGTCCCTCTATGTTTCTGTGTGTTTTACGTCCCTCTGTGTTTCTGTGTGTTTTACGTCCCTCTGTGTTTCTGTGTGTTTTACGTCCCTCTGTGTTTCTGTGTGTTTTACGTCCCTCTATGTTTCTGTGTGTTTTACGTCCCTCTATGTTTCTGTGTGTTTTACGTCCCTCTATGTTTCTGTGTGTTTTACGTCCCTCTATGTTTCTGTGTGTTTTACGTCCCTCTATGTTTCTGTGTGTTTTACGTCCCTCTATGTTTCTGTGTGTTTTACGTCCCTCTGTGTTTCTGTGTGTTTTACGTCCCTCTATGTTTCTGTGTGTTTTACGTCCCTCTGTGTTTCTGTGTGTTTTACGTCCCTCTATGTTTCTGTGTGTTTTACGTCCCTCTATGTTTCTGTGTGTTTTACGTCCCTCTGTGTTTCTGTGTGTTTTACGTCCCTCTGTGTTTCTGTGTGTTTTACGTCCCTCTATGTTTCTGTGTGTTTTACGTCCCTCTATGTTTCTGTGTGTTTTACGTCCCTCTGTGTTTCTGTGTGTTTTACGTCCCTCTGTGTTTCTGTGTGTTTTACGTCCATCTGTGTTTCTGTGTGTTTTACGTCCCTCTATGTTTCTGTGTGTTTTACGTCCCTCTATGTTTCTGTGTGTTTTACGTCCCTCTGTGTTTCTGTGTGTTTTACGTCCCTCTGTGTTTCTGTGTGTTTTACGTCCCTCTATGTTTCTGTGTGTTTTACGTCCCTCTATGTTTCTGTGTGTTTTACGTCCCTCTATGTTTCTGTGTGTTTTACGTCCCTCTGTGTTTCTGTGTGTTTTACGTCCCTCTGTGTTTCTGTGTGTTTTACGTCCCTCTGTGTTTCTGTGTGTTTTACGTCCCTCTGTGTTTCTGTGTGTTTTACGTCCCTCTGTGTTTCTGTGTGTTTTACGTCCCTCTGTGTTTCTGTGTGTTTTACGTCCCTCTATGTTTCTGTGTGTTTTACGTCCCTCTGTGTTTCTGTGTGTTTTACGTCCCTCTGTGTTTCTGTGTGTTTTACATCCCTCTATGTTTCTGTGTGTTTTACGTCCCTCTGTGTTTCTGTGTGTTTTACGTCCCTCTATGTTTCTGTGTGTTTTACGTCCCTCTATGTTTCTGTGTGTTTTACGTCCCTCTGTGTTTCTGTGTGTTTTACGTCCCTCTATGTTTCTGTGTGTTTTACGTCCCTCTATGTTTCTGTGTGTTTTACGTCCCTCTATGTTTCTGTGTGTTTTACGTCCCTCTATGTTTCTGTGTGTGTTCCTCATCAGGCATGGGAGAACCACTTGCGGAGGAACCGTTCCATCGTGGTGGATCTGTTCCACGGCCAGCTCAAGTCGCAGGTCAAGTGTAAGACGTGTGGCCACATCAGCGCCCGCTTCGACCCCTTCAACTTCCTGTCTTTACCCCTCCCCATGGACAGCTCCATGCACCTGGAGATCACTGGTGAGGACTGGGACTAAACGCCCTGATGAGGGGGGCAGGTTCCTGGAAAGGGGTGGGAGGGTTTGATCTCTGTGGACCAGATTGCCGGTTGGTGAGTTGGTTTTGGTCGTAATTGACCTGAACTGTTTGCCAGAGGAGAGTTTTTGTAATAACAGGTGGGAGGGGTCAGCAATTATTTTTCCTGCACGCTTCCTTACCCTGGAATGGTGTGGGTCCTCAATAGAGGGGAGGCGGCAGCCAATGGCCCTTTTCCCGAGACCTCAAAAGCAGCAAAGCATATCCTCATGGACAATAATGGTCAATGGGAAATATACACATTTCTATTCACTTCCTGAATTGACTGCATCGTCTGTCTGTCTGTCAGTCATTATGCTGGATGGTTCTACCCCTGTACGGTTCGGCCTGAGGCTCAACATGGATGACAAGTACACCGGTCTGAAGAAACAGCTGGGTGAACTGTGTAGGCTGAAGCCTGACCAGATACTACTGGCAGAGGTCCACACCTCCAACATCAAGGTACACACACTGATGCACACACACTCACACACACACTGATGCACACACACTGATGCTAAAAATGTAAATGTAAATGATGCACACACACACACACACACACTGATGCACACACACACACACACACACACACACACACACTGATGCACACACACACACACACACTGATGCACACACACTGATGCACACACACACACACACACTGATGCACACACACACACACACACACACACACACACTGATGCACACACACACACACACACTGATGCACACACACACACACACACACACACTGATGCACACACACACACACACACACTGATGCACACACACACACACTGATGCACACACACTGATGCGCACAAACACACACACAAGTGCAATACAGAGAGTAGTAATTAATTGTGTGTTCTTGTGTACGGTAGAACTTCCCTCAGGATAACCAGAAGGTGCGTCTGTCTGTGAATGGCTTCCTGTGTGCGTTTGAGATCCCTGTGCCAGGCTCCCCCACCTCCCTCAGCTCACCAACACAGACAGGTGAGAACCTCCTACACTTTCACCCATGCTGCTTCTAGAGGTTGGCAGAATGTAACATGGTGGTTCTAGAGGTTGGCAGAATGTAACATGGTGGTTCTAGAGGTTGGCAGAATGTAACATGGTGGTTCTAGAGGTTGGCAGAATGTAACATGGTGGTTCTAGAGGTTGGCAGAATGTAACATGGTGGGTCTAGAGGTTGGCAGAATGTAACATGGTGGTTCTAGAGGTTGGCAGAATGTAACATGGTGGTTCTAGAGGTTGGCAGAATGTAACATGGTGGTTCTAGAGGTTGGCAGAATGTAACATGGGGTTAGAGGTTGGCAGAATGGTACATGGGTTCTAGAGGTTGGCAGAATGTAATACATGGTGGTTCTAGAGGTTGGCAGAATGTAACATGGTGGTTCTAGAGGTTGGCAGAATGGAATACATGGTGGTTCTAGAGGTTGGCAGAAGGTAACATGGTGGTTCTAGAGGTTGGCAGAATGTAACATGGTGGTTCTAGAGGTTGGCAGAATGGAACATGGTGGTTCTAGAGGTTGGCAGAATGTAATACATGGTGGTTCTAGAGGTTGGCAGAATGTAACATGGTGGGTCTAGAGGTTGGCAGAATGTAACATGGTGGTTCTAGAGGTTGGCAGAATGTAACATGGTGGTTCTAGAGGTTGGCAGAATGTAACATGGTGGTTATAGAGGTTGGCAGAATGTAACATGGTGGTTATAGAGGTTGGCAGAATGTAACATGGTGGTTCTAGAGGTTGGCAGAATGTAATACATGGTGGGAATCGTTGGACCCTGTTGTGGCTGAAGTGACCAGAGCTGCCACCTGCCTTACACACAGAAACACATTGAAAAAGGCATTCATTATAACTGGTAGAGAAGCTTTTTGACTGTACCTCTCCTTATGAACTTAACCCTACCATACTCCTCACAGTCACATGAAATACCAACTCACTGTTTCCAGAAGGTTCTCTGACATGTCCATCTGTAACACTAGTTCTCTCTCTCTGACACCTCTCCAGACATCACCCCTGTGCCCATGGCTAATGGGGTGGCGGTGGCAGCTAAAGGGCATCCTGCTGGCAAGCCTGGTCTGATCCCCAACGGCATGCCCAGCGCCGTGGTGCCATGCGGACAGACCACAGAGAGAGGCCTGGTCAATGGAAGGGTGGGGGTGCCAAACGGACACGTGTCCCCCGTCCAGGACAGCCCCTTTATCGGGTACATCATTGCCATGCACAGGAAGATGGTGGGTACCACAGAATATATATATATTTACATTTACATTTGAGTCATTTAGCAGACGCTCTTATCCAGAGCGACTTACAGTTAGTGAGTGCATACATTTTTCATACTGGCCCCCCGTGGGAATCGAACCCACAACCCTGGCGTTGCAAGCGCCATGCTCTACCAACTGGGATACAGGGGACTATAGGCTATTTCCTAAAGACTGTCACATAAAGCCAATAACCTACAGGAAGGACCCTGTTAGTAGCAAATACCATTTTTGATAAGCCCTGTACTGTCTGTCAAGAGTAAAACAACAAATAAATCCCGTGTTCAGTGTCAGTGACTCTTTTAAACGTTTTCTTTTTCTTTTTTTTTGCCCCACAGAATATTGGTCATTCCATAAAAAAACGTATTTCTTCCACTTTGAGTGGAATAATTTAGAAATAGACTAATATTCATCATCACCATTCAATATAGATTACATTTCAGTTTACTCCGGTTACTGGAGGACTATTGCACCTGCCATCTACTTGACAACAATACTGGCTATTATTTGTTGGGCTGTGCATTGTTCGTCACCTAAGAATCGTGCAACACACCCCATCGTGACAATGTTACATGGCAAACAGACACAGCAAGTCAGTCACGTTGACGTCTGACACAATACTGTAGTTCCACCGGTCCCACGCTTGTATTAAATAGGAAACGTCGCTATATTCTACAGCTGTTGCAGTTCTAGTTATTAGCGAGATATGTGACTAATAGTATCCGAGTGAGAAGGTAGGCTATCAATAGCAAAACCATCAACCACCTTCACTCTGTGGTTGTATTGACTCCCTTTCATTAAGAGGTGTAGCTAGCGCCTGGTTTCTTTCCGGTCTGCTAACTACGTTCTGAACGGTGCCCCCTACTCAACCCCCCTGTCATTGGTGATAATAACAAACAACCATGAATTCCATCGTCAGGGAGGCACACGATGAAAACTCACTAGAAGCAATCCACTACCACGAGATGAGATGTAGGAGGTTATTTGCGAGTAACTAACACATAAATGATCGTCTTGCAACAATCCTAGGTTCATTAGCTACAAGACAGTAGCTTGCTAACGTTAGTTAGTTAATAATTGACCTAGCTAGCGTGCTTAATCTGCGCACTATGGGTACAATTAAAATAACCCATGCAATAAAAGGCTACGTCTGAATATGCCATTGTATTCATAAACTATGACAATGACAACCCCATCAATGATATTTTGCAGGAAAGAATGACTAGCTAGCTCTCCGGCCTTGGCCCGACACCACGCAAAAAAAAGCAAGCTGGATACATATATATTGTGTTTGGTGTGTAGCTTTGGGACACAACATCAGGAGTCTGTTGGTTGGACTCCCTGAGTGGTGCATCGTGCTGGTGGATGGTGATGGGAAATAACCCTACCACAATGTAGCAGGCTACACGAGAAAAACCTTTCCTTTCAACAAATGCACAAGGTATAATCTCTAGGGACTCTACTTACCAGACGTAAAGTGAAATGTGTCCCTCGCTATAAAATAAACGTCTGAATCCAACTTTTGTCCCGATCCGCACCATATTCCTGTTGAGTTGGACGGCGGGCTGCCATTAGACCATACACATCCTGTAAAACTTCCTACCACGAAATCTACCACTGTCTACACAGCAGGAATATGGTGCGGTTCGGGCAAAAGTTGGATTCAGACGTTTATTTTATAGCGAGGGACACATTTCACTTAACGGCCAACCAATACAGACTCCTGATGTTGTGTCCAAAAGCGAAGGCGTTTACTGCTATTATGGACGCCAGGCACTATCCAAGTTGGCAGGACTCTAATCTAGTGAGATGTAAAAAAAATAGTAATTTAGCAGACGCTCTTATCCAGAGCGACTTACAGTTAGTGAGTGCATACATTTTTCATACTGCCCCCCCCCCCCGTGGGAATCGAACCCACAACCCTGCCGTTGCAAACGCCATGCTCTACCAACTGAACTACACGGGATATATAGTAGTAGGAGTGTAATTATGAGGTCCTAGTAAGGAGTATATTAGCAATGAGGAAATACATTTAGCAACTTGGGCATGAGGTGCTGGGTAAACTTGACTTTTAAGTGGTGAATACTTTTAGAGGTATCTTGTCCCCCTTCCTCATGTTTGGGCATCGAGTTTCATAATTCTGACTGTTTTGATTCCTGTGTGTCCTCCTGTAGATGCGGACGGAGTTGTATTTCCTGTCCAGTCAGAAGAACCGTGCCAGTCTGTTCGGGATGCCTCTGATCGTTCCCTGTACGGTCCACACCAGTAAGAAGGACCTGTATGATGCTGTCTGGATACAGGTGGCACGTCTGGCCAGCCCTCTGCCCCCGCAGGAGGCCAGCAACCACGCACAGGACTGGTCAGTACCACGCACAGGACTGGTCAGTACCACACACAGGACTGGTCAGTACCACGCACAGGACTGGTCAGTACCACGCACAGGACTGGTCTGGTCGGTACCACACACACAGGACTGGTCGGTACCACACACAGGACTGGTCAGTACCACACACACAGGACTGGTCTGGTCGGTACCACACACAGGACTGGTCTGGTCGGTACCACACACACACACAGGACTGGTCAGTACCACACACAGGACTGGTCGGTACCACACACAGGACTGGTCAGTACCACACACAGGACTGGTCTGGTCGGTACCACACACAGGACTGGTCGGTACCACGCACAGGACTGGTCAGTACCACACACAGGACTGGTCGGTACCACACACACAGGACTGGTCAGTACCACACACAGGACTGGTCAGTACCACACACAGGACTGGTCTGGTCGGTACCACACACAGGACTGGTCGGTACCACACACAGGACTGGTCGGTACCACATACAACACACAGGACTGGTCGGTACCACACACAACACACAGGACTGGTCGGTACACACACACAGGACTGGTCGGTACCACACACACAGGACTGGTCGGTACCACACCACACAACACAGGACTGGTCGGTACCACAACAAAACACACAGGACTGGTCGGTACCACACACAACACACAGGACTGTCGGTACCACACACCACACACACAGGACTGGTCGGTACCCACACACACACAGGACTGGTCGGTACCACACACACAGGACTGGTCGGTACCACACACACAGGACTGGTCAGTACCACACACACAGGACTGGTCGGTACCACACACAACACACAGGACTGGTCGGTACCACACACACAGGACTGGTCGGTACCACACACACAGGACTGGTCGGTACCACACACACAGGACTGGTCGGTACCACACACAGGACTGGTCTGGTCGGTACCACACACACAGGACTGGTCTGGTCGGTACCACACACAGGACTGGTCTGGTCGGTACCACACACAGGACTGGTCTGGTCGGTACCACACATAGGACTGGTCGGTACCACACACACAGGACTGGTCGGTACCACACACACACACAGGACTGGTCAGTACCACACACACAGGACTGGTCGGTACCACACACACAGGACTGGTCGGTACCACACACAACACACAGGACTGGTCGGTACCACACACACAGGACTGGTCGGTACCACACACACAGGACTGGTCGGTACCACACACACAGGACTGGTCGGTACCACACACAACACACAGGACTGGTCGGTACCACACACAACACACAGGACTGGTCGGTACCACACACAGGACTGGTCGGTACCACACACACAGGACTGGTCGGTACCACACACAGGACTGGTCAGTACCACACACAGGACTGGTCGGTACCACACACACAGGACTGGTCAGTACCACACACAGGACTGGTCAGTACCACACACACAGGACTGGTCGGTACCACACACACAGGACTGGTCGGTACCACACACAGGACTGGTCGGTACCACACACAACACACAGGACTGGTCGGTACCACATACAACACACAGGACTGGTCGGTACCACACACAGGACTGGTCGGTACCACATACAACACACAGGACTGGTCGGTACCACACACAGGACTGGTCAGTACCACACACACAGGACTGGTCGGTACCACATACAACACACAGGACTGGTCGGTACCACACACACAGGACTGGTCAGTACCACACACAGGACTGGTCGGCAAGTCTTCCCTTGATGTGAAGGTTATCTTGATTGACTGAAGGTTATCTTGATTGTAAATAATTTACATTTACATTTTAGTCATTTAGCAGACGCTCTTATCCAGAGCGACTTACAGGAGCAAGTAGGGTTAAGTGCCTTGCTCAAGGGCACATCGACAGATTTTTCACCTAGTTGGCTCGGGGATTAGAACCAGCGACCTTTCGGTTACTGGCCCAACGCTCTTAACCACTAAGCTACCTGCCTCCCCAGTAATAATGTTGTGTGTATTATGCCCCCTTCTACAGTGATGACAGTATGGGCTACCAGTACCCCTTCACACTGAGAGTGGTAGGGAAGGATGGGAACTCATGTGCCTGGTGTCCCTGGTACAGGTGAGGTCTCCTCCATCATCATCATCATCAAAACACACACTTCACTTCTATTACTGTATCTGTACTGCTTTGCTTTATCTTGGCCAGGTCGCAGTTGGAAATGAGAACTTGTTCTCAACTGGCTTCTTACCTGGTTAAATAAAGGTGGAATAAAATAAATCAAATAAAACATCTAATTTGGCTGAAACGGCATGTTTGGGGGAATCGGCATGTTTGGGTGTGTGTGTGTGTTTGTACCGTCTCTGTGCTTCTGCTCGTGTGTGTGTGTGTGTGTGTGTGTGTGTTACTGTGTGTTCAGGTTTTGCTCGTATACGTGTGTGTTCAGGTTCTGTCGAGGCTGTGCGGTGGACTGCACGGAGGACAGGGCCTCGGTAGAAAACGCCTACATAGCTGTGGACTGGGACCCGACAGCCTTACACCTCCGCTACCAGACCTCACAGGAGAGGGTGAGTCATCAGATCCTACAGGAAAATATGACGTCCACACATCCAGGTACTGGAGAGCCCCTTCTCCCTGTCTCTCTCTCTCGCTAGATAGTGGAGGAGCACTGCAGTGTGCAGCAGAGTCGCAGGGCCCAGGCTGAACCCATCAGTCTGGACAGCTGTCTGAAGGCCTTCACCAGCGAGGAGGAGCTGGGAGAGGATGAGCTCTACTACTGCTCCAAGTGCAAGACCCACCGCCTGGCCACCAAGAAACTGGACCTGTGGAGGCTGCCTCCTATACTGGTCAGAACACTGACACACACACACTGGCTACTGTAGTTAGATGTTATGATGCTACCAGATACTGTCTACTGTAGTTAGATGTTATGATGCTACCAGAGACTGTAGTTAGATGTTATGATGCTACCAGATACTGTAGTTAGATGTTATGATGCTACCAGATACTGTAGTTTGAGTTTGAGTTTATTATTTTTTACAGGGACAGTGCACATTAATCAACGTTTCAGTAAAAGTGCCGGTTTTAGCCAGCCGGCTAATTTTCAACCGCAGTCCCTGGGCAGGTTATTAAAAACAATTACAATATAGACAATAACAACATAGAACAAGACATAGCATACAGACATAGCAACATAGGACAAGCAATACATAGCATACAGACAGAGCAACATAGAACAAAAAGCAGCAAGACAAAATTCATAAAAGCAACAAAGTGTTTCCACACCTCACAAGTTACAGACAACAGACATGGAAAGCGGCAACACACAGCTAGGGACCATGTTCACAAATCTGATTGACCTTTAGCCATGTCTTCAAGCATTTTGTGAAAGTGTGATATGTGGTGCAGTTATGTGTGTCTGATGGCAGTGTATTCCAGACATGGGAAGCTCTCACAGAAAAAGCGGATTTACTAAAGGTGCTTTTCCTTAGGGGAACTACACAGTCACCTCTCATGGCAGACCTTGTGGATCTGCTGCCATATGTTTGGGTTTTCTGTTTAACAAAAATACTGAGTGGAGGGGGAGCCAAGCCATTTAGGATCTTGAATACAAGACATGCATCGGTGTATTGCACAAGATTTTCCCAACTCAGGAGCTCATGCTTTCTAAGGATGTGACAGTGATGATGGCTATTGGGCTTCCTATCAAGCACTTTGAGAGCCTGTTTGTAGACAGACTGAATAGGTCTTACTGTTGTACAGCAAGCTTGGGCCCAACTAGTCAAGCAGTATGTTAAGTGGGGGAGTATCATAGATTTGAAGTACAGTTTTGCTACCTCTGTAGTCAAACAATTTCGTATAAATCGGAAATTAGCTAGGTTGAATTTGGTTATTTGAATTACCTTTTTCACATGCTTTTTAAAAGAGAGGTTGGAATCAAGTTAGATGTTATGATGCTACCAGATACTGTAGTTAGATGTTATGATGCTACCAGATACTGTCTACTGTAGTTAATGTTATGATGCTACCAGATACTGTCTACTGTAGTTAATGTTATGATGCTACCAGAGACTGTAGTTAGATGTTATGATGCTACCAGATACTGTAGTTAGATGTTATGATGCTACCAGAGACTGTAGTTAGATGTTATGATGCTACCAGAGACTGTAGTTAGATGTTATGATGCTACCAGATACTGTAGTTAGATGTTATGATGCTACCAGATACTGTAGTTAGATGTTATGATGCTACCACCCATACTGGTCAAAACACTGACACACAGACAGACACTGTACACTATTAAGACTAGTACCCACCATCACTACAGTACATAGTATCACCATCACTACAGTACATAGTACCCACCATCAGTACAGTACATAGTACCCACCATCACTACAGTACATAGTACCTACCATCACTACAGTACATAGTATCACCATCACTACAGTACATAGTACCTACCATCACTACAGTACATAGTATCACCATCAGTACAGTACATAGTATCACCATCACTACAGTACATAGTACCCACCATCACTACAGTACATAGTACCTACCATCACTACAGTACATAGTATCACCATCGGTACAGTACATAGTATCACCATCACTACAGTACATAGTACCCACCATCACTACAGTACATAGTATCACCATCAGTACAGTACATAGTATCACCATCACTACAGTACATAGTACCTACCATCACTACAGTACATAGTACCTACCATCACTACAGTACATAGTACCTACCATCACTACAGTACATAGTATCACCATCACTGCAGTACATAGTACCCACCATCACTACAGTACATAGTATCACCATCACTACAGTACATACAGTGGGGGGGGGAAGTATTCAGTCAGCCACCAATTGTGCAAGTTCTCCCACTTAAAAAGATGAGAGAGGCCTGTAATTTTCATCATAGGTACACGTCAACTATGACAGACAAATTGAGGAAAAAAAATCCAGAAAATCACATTGTAGGAGTTTTAATGAATTTATTTGCAAATTATGGTGGAAAATAAGTATTTGGTCACCTACAAACAAGCAAGATTTCTGGCTCTCACAGACCTGTAACTTCTTCTTTAAGAGGCTCCTCTGTCCTCCACTCGTTACCTGTATTAATGGCACCTGTTTGAACTTGTTATCAGTATAAAAGACACCTGTCCACAACCTCAAACAGTCACACTCCAAACTCCACTATGGCCAAGACCAAAGAGCTGTCAAAGTACACCAGAAACAAAATTGTAGACCTGCACCAGGCTGGGAAGACTGAATCTGCAATAGGTAAGCAGCTTGGTTTGAAGAAATCAACTGTGGGAGCAATTATTAGGAAATGGAAGACATACAAGACCACTGATAATCTCCCTCGATCTGGGGCTCCACGCAAGATCTCACCCTGTGGGGTCAAAATGATCACAAGAACGGTGAGCAAAAATCCCAGAACCACACGGGGGGACCTAGTGAATGACCTGCAGAGAGCTGGGACCAAAGTAACAAAGCCTACCATCAGTAACACACTACGCCGCCAGGGACTCAAATCCTGCAGTGCGAGACGTGTCCCCCTGCTTAAGCCAGTACATGTCCAGGCCCGTCTGAAGTTTGCTTGAGTGCATTTGGATGATCCAGAAGAGGATTGGGAGAATGTCATATGGTCAGATGAAACCAAAATATAACTTTTTGGTAAAAACTCAACTCGTCGTGTTTGGAGGACAAAGAATGCTGAGTTGCATCCAAAGAACACCATACCTACTGTGAAGCATGGGGGTGGAAACATCATGCTTTGGGGCTGTTTTTCTGCAAAGGGACCAGGACGACTGATCCGTGTAAAGGAAAGAATGAATGGGGCCATGTATCGTGAGATTTTGAGTGAAAACCTCCTTCCATCAGCAAGGGCATTGAAGATGAAACGTGGCTGGGTCTTTCAGCATGACAATGATCCCAAACACACCGCCCGGGCAACGAAGGAGTGGCTTCGTAAGAAGCATTTCAAGGTCCTGGAGTGGCCTAGCCAGTCTCCAGATCTCAACCCCATAGAAAATCTTTGGAGGGAGTTGAAAGTCCGTGTTGCCCAGCGACAGCCCCAAAACATCACTGCTCTAGAGGAGATCTGCATGGAGGAATGGGCCAAAATACCAGCAACAGTGTGTGAAAACCTTGTGAAGACTTACAGAAAACGTTTGACCTGTGTCATTGCCAACAAAGGGTATATAACAAAGTATTGAGAAACTTTTGTTATTGACAAAAAATTATTTTCCACCATAATTTGCAAATAAATTCATTAAAAATCCTACAATGTGATTTTCTGGATTTTTTTTTCTCATTTTGTCTGTCATAGTTGACGTGTACCTATGATGAAAATTACAGGCCTCTCTCATCTTTTTAAGTGGGAGAACTTGCACAGTTGGTGGCTGACTAAATACTTTTTTCCCCCCACTGTACATATAGAGGTGTTGGAGAGGTGCGGGGGGCTGCCACACTGGGGAGTTGTTGTTGTGGGGGGGGGTTAAGTGCCTTGCTCAAGGGCACAACGGCAGGCAATGGCATTTAGGATTTGATATCGGCAACCCTCCGGTTGCTAACTCACTTCCCAACAGATTTTTCCCGTTGGACTCGGGCTTCGAACTGGCAACCCTCCGGTTGCTGGCTCACCTCTCTAACCACTAGGCTACGTGGCACCTGTGATGTAAACGTATCTACATCAGTGTTTCATTAGTTCATGTTGTTCTTCATTGTAGATAGTACACCTGAAGAGGTTCCAGTTTGTGAACGGCCGCTGGATCAAGTCTCAGAAGATCGTCAAGTTTCCCAGAGAGAGTTTTGACCCTAGTGTTTACCTGGCTCCCCGGGAGGCGGGGCTTAACGGGCTACACAGTCTGCAGAGCCGCAGCGAGGGGGAGGAGCTACTGAGGATAGGAGGAGGAGAAACGGTCTCCTCCATCTCCGCGCCTGCTGGGTTCCTCAACATCCTCAAAGGTCTGATGTCATCCTTTGTGCATCCCAAATGGCACCTTATTCCCTTTATAGTGCATCGTCCCTGTGGACCCTGGTCAAAAGTAGTGCACTATATAGGGAATAGGGTGCAGTTTGGGACACGGCCTCTCTCACTCATGTCTCCATTCCTGGTTACGTTTCATTCCTGTCTCTATGGAATCTTGCTGCTTTTTGGTAATTCAAGTGACTGTTGGTTCCAGGTCCCTGATTAGCTTGATGATAGCCCAGTCATCATCTGCAGTAGTTTCCTGTTGTTAAACAAACCAGTCATTCAGAGAGCGGTAATAAAACACACCCAAACACCCGAAACCAGAACAAGCATGTATTTCTTTCTTTTCATAGTGTACAACACAATACACAGCATAGCCCATATACACAGGAAGGATGAGGTCAAGCTGTTTTACTGAGCCCCTCCCTCTCTTTTTGTCTGTCTCCGCAGCCTCTCCAGCGTCAGGCAGGAAGTCAGCCCCTCCCTCTTCCATCAGCCGTACCAGCAGCCCCTGCAGCAGCCCCAAGACAGGAGGAGGTGGTCCAGGGGGCACGGGCCGCAGACAGACCCGCCTCAGGCTCCCACAGCTGGCCAACCGACACCGCCTCTCCAACAGCAAGGAGAACCTGGAGGGTAGTACCAGGGAGGGGGGCAGCGGCCCTGACACAGAGCCCAGGGAGGGAGCACCGCAGGCGGACACGGAGGTTGGGCTCGTGGGGGTGTTGGGTGGAGGTTTTGGAGAGGTCGGGGTGGGGAGCGAGCCAGAGATGTCCACCACAGACGCGTCCAGCAGTCTCAGTAATGTCATCTTGATGAATGGGGACAGCGGTGGCCATAGCAACGGGGTACTGAGCATTGAGGCCAGTACGGAGCCCAGCATGGACCTAGGGAGTAGCGCCACCACCCTGCTGCACCAAAGCGACAACAGCCTGGAGAACATCTACAACTTATATGCAATTTCAGTGAGTGCTTACCAAAACTGCCTCCTAACCTATACCTCAGGAAGTTTGATTTAGTTTAATATAGTTAGATACTTCGGGATTAGAAAGCCTCTGCCACAAATGGCACCCTATTCCCTATATAGTGCACTACTTTTGACCAGGGCCCATGTTGTGCCTCTCTTTGTCTCCACGTACATCAGTATGGGAGGTAACAGGAGGTCCTCTCTCTCTGTCTCCACAGTACCATTCAGGTATCGTGGGAGGTAACAGGAGGTCCTCTCTCTCTCTCTCTGTCTCCACAGTACCATTCAGTGTATCATGAGGTAACGGAGGTTAATAGTCAGATCATGGGAGTACGGAGTCCTCTCTCTCGTCTCCACATACCATCAGTATCATGGAGGTAACAGAGGTTCCTCTCTCTCTGTCTCCACAGTACCATTCAGGTATCATGGGAGGTAACAGGAGGTCCTCTCTCTCTCTCTGTCTCCACAGTGCCATTCAGGTATCATGGGAGGTAACAGGAGGTCCTCTCTCTCTCTCTCTTCTCCCAGTCCTTCCACAGTGCCATTCAGGTAATGGGAGGTAACAGGAGGTCCTTCTCTTCGTCCCACACAGGCCATTAGGTATCATGGGAGGTAGGCTACAGGTCCCTCTCTCGTCCACAGTGCCATCAGGTATCGTGGGATGGGGGTAACAGGAGGTCTCTCTTCTCTCTGTCTCCACAGTGCCATTCAGGTATGGGGAGGTAACAGGGAGGTCCGTCCTCTCTCTCTGCTCCACAGTCCATTCAGGTACATTGGATAAGGTAACAGGAGGTCCTCTCTCTCTGTCTCCACAGGCTTCAGGTATCATGGAGGTAACGGGGTCTCTCTTTCTCCACAGTACCATTCAGTAATGGGACGGTGATACGGGGGTCCTGTATCGTCTCACGTCATTCAGTACATGGAATGGTAACAGGGGGTCTCGCGTCCAAGTACCATTCAGGTATCGTGGAACAGAGGTCCTCCTCGTTAACAGGAGCCCTTCAGGTATCATGACGTGCTTCAGGTTAAGGAGGTCCTCTCTCTCTCTCTGTCTCCACAGTGCCATTCAGGTATCGGTGAAGGTAACAGGAGGTCCTCTCTCTCTCTCTGTCTCCACAGTGCCATCAGGTATATGGGAGGTGTCGGGTAACAGGAGGTCCTCTCTCTCTCTCTCTCCACAGTAGCATTAGGTATATGGGGGGGTAACAGGAGGTCCTCTCTCTCTTCGTCCCAGTGCCATTCAGGTATCATGGGAGGGGTGGAAAAGGAGGCCTCTCTCTCTGTCTCCACAGTGCCATTAGGTATCATGGGAGGGTAACAGGAGGTCCTCTCTCTCCTTCTGTCCAAGTCCTTCGGTATCAGGGAGGGTAACAGGGGCCTCTCTCCTTGTCCCAGGCCATTCAGGTATGCATGGGAGGTACAGGGGTCCCTCTCTCTTTCCACAGTACCATTCAGGTTATCATGGGGGGTTAACAGGAGGGTACTTCTGTCAGGGACAACAGGATAATGGGAGGAACAGGAGGCTCCTCTGCTCACAGTGCCATTCAGTATTGGAGGTGGAAAGAGGTCCCTCTTCTCTGTTCCACAGTGCCATCAGGTAACAGGGGGCCCTCTCTTGTAACAGGATCTCTTGCTCCACAGTGCATTCGGTATCATGGGAGGAAAGGAGGTCCTCTCTCTCTGTCTCCACAGGCCATTCAGGTATCATGGGTGGTAACAGGAGGTCCTTCTCTGTCTCCACGTGCCATTCAGGTTCTGGGAGGTAACAGGACGGTTCCTCTCTCTCTGTCTTCCACGTGCCATTCAGGTATCATGGGAGGAAGAAGGAGGTCCTCTCTGTCTCCACAGTGCATTCAGATCAGTGGTAGGTATCAGGAGGGGCCTCCCCCTCTCCCACTCATTCAGTATCGGGTAGGTAACAGGAGTCTCTTCTTGTCGTCTCACAGGTGGCCATTCAGGTAATGGGAGTTAGGTCCTCTCTCTCTGTCCACAGTACCATTCAGGTCATGGGAGTGGAGACAGGAGGTCTCTCTTCTATCATGGGAGGTAACAGGAGGTCTCTCTCTGTCTCCACATTGCCATTCAGGTATCATGGGAGGGGTAAACGGAGGTTCCTCTCTCTCTCTCTGTCTCCACAGTGCCATTCAGGTATCCTGGGAGGTTAAACAGGATGTCCTCTCATCTCTCTCTGTCTCCCCAGTCCCCATTCAGGTATCATGGGAGGTAATAGGAGGTCCTCTCTCTCTTCTCTGTCTCCACAGTCGCCATTCAGGTATCATGGGACGGTTAACAGGAGGTCCTCCTCTCTCTCTCTGTCTCCACAGTGCCATTCAGGTATCATGGGAGGGTAACAGGAAGGTCCTCTCTCTCTCTCTGTCTATCCACAGTTGCCATTCAGGTATCATGGGAGGTAACAGGAGGGTACCCTCTTCTCTCTCTGTCTCCAACAGTGCCATTCAGGTATCATGGGAGGGTAAACAGGAGGTCCTCTCTCTTCTTCTGTCTCCACAGTGCCATTCAGGTATCATGGGGAGGTAAACAGGAGGTCCTCTCTCTCTCTCTGTCTCCACAGTTCCATTCAGGTATCATGGGAGGGGGTCCTCTCTCTCTCTCTGTCTCCACAGTGCCATTCAGGTATCATGGGAGGTAACAGGAGGTCCTCTCTCTCTGTCTCCACAGTGCCATTCAGGTATCATGGGAGGTAACAGGAGGTCCTCTCTCTCTCTCTGTCTCCACAGTGCCATTCAGGTATCATGGGAGGTAACAGGAGGTCCTCTCTCTCTGTCTCCACAGTGCCATTCAGGATCATGGGAGGGTAACAGGGTTCCTCCTCTCTGTCTCACAGTGCATTCAAAGGTACCCTCACATGCCTCAGTGGAGGTAACAGGAGGTCCTCTCTCTCTGTCTCCACAGTGCCATTCAGGTATCATGGGAGGTAACAGGAGGTCCTCTCTCTCTCTCTCTGTCTCCACAGTGCCATTCAGGTATCATGGGAGGAGGACACTATGTGACCTATGCCAAAAACCCCAACAGCAAATGGTACTGTTACAATGACAGCAGCTGTAAGGTAAGGACACACACACACACACACACACACACACACACACACACACACACACACATCCTCTACTAATAGTCAATTATCCTAGCAAACCAGTTAGTCATTTTAAAGACAAAACTAGTCATCTCTTGTAAAGTGTGTACTTGTTTGCCGTATCCTCCCTAGGAAGTGCACTCAGAGGAGATGGACACGGACTCGGCCTACATCCTGTTCTATGAGCAGCAGGGAGTGGACTACTCTCAGTTCCTTCCAAAGACTGACGGCAAGAAGATGGCCGACACCACTAGCATGGACGAGGACTTTGAGTCTGACTACAAGAAGTACTGTGTCCTCCAGTGATCAGGATCACACCGTCTTCCACCCACCTACCTACCGGCTCAACCCTCAACGCTTGTAACTCTGGACAGCCACATACGGAAAGGAATGGACACGGCGCTTCTTCATCCAGTCTCTGGGCGCCAGGAAGCACAAAATTGTGTCTTTTGGCCGAGTCATCACAAACTGAACCACTTGAATGCCGGACCGGTTGTCATATTTTTGTCGGATGACGGTAGGTACCCCCCTTGTTGTTTTGCGAAGAGAACAACATTCAAGCCCCATTTTTAAAGCACTAAACTGGTGCACATTGAGCCTGAGGAAACCCACACTCTCCCCTGTGTGTGTTAGATTGTCAGCGCATAAAGCTGATGTTGCTTCCCTGTTAGATTGTCAGCACATAAAGCTGATGTTGCTTCCCTGTTGGTCCCTGTTTTTCCTCCCCTGCAGCCATCAAAATACTTTATGTCCACACATCTACAGAATGTCTCGCTCAATAACTCAGTATGCAGTAACGGTAATGTAGAGATTATACTGTATTATTGTTTTCCTTCGGTAGTGATACTGTCATTTTAAAGAACAACTCATAATGCTACCTCACTGCATTTCATTGGCCAATTGGAACGGTAAAATATTTGTGACAGTATTAAAATCTCACACACTTCCTCTTTTGATGTCCGCGCACACGCACACACACACGCACGCACGCACACACGCACACACACAGACACACACACACAGACACACACATACACGCACACACACACAGACACACACACGCACACACACGCACGCACGCACACGCACAGACACACACAGACACACAGACACAGACACACACACACACACACAGACACACACACACACACACGCGCACGCACACACACACACAAAAAAATTAAATAATCACCCATTATGAAGAAAGATTCCACAATATCGAGTTGCCAAGCAACGGCCAAAACAAAAATGTGCAATTGCTGATTAATGTACCCACCACATTGAATGAATTTAGGGACGTTCATTGTAGTCATTTTAACTCACAAGCTTGAGTTTAAATCTTGGTTATGTTCTGGACAGGTGCCATAGAGGATGTTTTAAAAGATATATATATATATAGAAATAAATATTTTATTGTTTTCTCTTTCTCCAAATACTTATTTTATAGAGATTGTATTTTTATCATTGCAATTTTTTAGTGCACATTTTGTTAATTTAAGGGTTGTTCTCAACTCTACTGTTTGTCTACAGTACGTTGTAAAGAGCCACTCTGATAATGTCAATTAATAGTTATGTCCCAAATGGTACCCTGTTCCCTAGTGCACCGGTTTTGACCTGGGCCCACTGGGCTCTGGTGAGAAATAGTGCACTACTGTACAGCGCCTTCAGAAAGTATTCACACCCCTTGACTTATTCCACATGTTCTTGTGTTACAGCCTTATTTTCCATCACTCATCTACACACAATACTCCGTAAAGACAAAGTGAAAAAAAAAAAATTTGCGAAATGTTTGCAAATGTATTGAAAATGAAAAACTGAAATATCTCATTTACATAAGTATTCACACCCCTGAGTCAATCAATACATGTTAGAATCACCTTTGGCAGCGGTTACAGCTGTGAGTCTTTCCGGGTAAGTCTCTAAGACGTGTCAAACTCATTCCACGGAGGGCCGAGTGTTTGTGGGTTTTCCTCCCTTGTACTTGATTGATGAATTAACATCACTAATTAGTTAAGAACTCCCCTCACCTGGTTGTCCAGGTCTTAATTGAAAGGAAAAACCAAAAACACACAGACATTCGGCCCTCCGTGGAATGAGTTCGACACCCCTGCTCTTAAGAGCTCTGCTAACCTGGATTGTACAGTATTTGCATTATTCTTTTTTAAATTCTTCAAGCTCTGTCAAGATGGTTGTTGATCAATGTTAGACAGCGATTTTCAAGTCTTGCCATAGATTTTCAAGCCGATTTTAAGTCAAAACAGTAACCAGGCCACTCAGGAACATTCCATGTCTTCTTGGTAAGCAACTCCAGTGTATTTGTGTTTTAGGATATTATCCTGCTGAAAGGTGTATTTGTCTCCCAGAGTCTGTTGGAAAGCAGACTGAACCATGTTTTCCTCTAGGATTTTGCCTGTGCTTATTAGCTCTGTTCCATTTTTTTTTTATCCTAAAAAACTCCCTAGTCATTGCCAATGACAAGCATACCCATAACATGATGCAGCCTCCACCATGCTTGAAAATATGAAGAGTGGTACTCAGTGATGTGTTGTGTTGGATTTGCCCCAAACATAACGCTTTGTATTCAGGAAATAAAGTTTATTTCTTAGCCACATTTTTTGCAGTTTTAGTTTAATGCCTTATTGCAAACAGGATGCATGTTTTGGAATATTTTTATTCTGTACAGACTTCCTTTTCACTCTGTCATTTGTGTTAGCATTGTGGAGGAACTATAATGTTGTAGATCCATCTTCAGTTTTTTCCTATCACAGCCATTAAACTCTGTTTTAAAGTCACCAATGGCCTCATGGTGAGATCCCTGAGCGGTTTCCTTCCTCTCCGGCAACTGAGTTAGGAAGGACGCCTGTAGCTTTGTAGTGACTGCGTGTATTGATACACCATCTAAAGTGTAATTAATAACTTCACAATGCTCAACGGGATATTCAGCGTCCGCTACCAATGGGTGCCCTTCATCGAGGCATTAGAAAACCTCCCTGGTCTTTGTAGTTTAATCTGTTTGAAATTCACTGCTTGACTGAAGGAACTTACATATACAGTGGAGAAAAAAAATATTTAGTCAGCAACCAATTGTGCAAGTTCTCCCACTTAAAAAGATGAGAGAGGCCTGTAATTTTCATCATAGGTACACGTCAACTATGACAGGCAAATTGAGAAAAGAAATCCAGAAAATCACATTGTAGGATTTTTAATGAATTTATTTGCAAATTATGGTGGAAAATAAGTATTTGGTCACCTACAAACAAGCAAGATTTCTGGCTCTCACAGACCTGTAACTTCTTCTTTAAGAGGCTCCTCTGTCCTCCACTCGTTACCTGTATTAATGGCACCTGTTTGAACTTGTTATCAGTATAAAAGACACCTGTCCACAACCTCAAACAGTCACACTCCAAACTCCACTATGGCCAAGACCAAAGAGCTGTCAAAGGACACCAGAAACAAAATTGTAGACCTGCACCAGGCTGGGAAGACTGAATCTGCAATAGGTAAGCAGCTTGGTTTGAAGAAATCAACTGTGGGAGCAATTATTGGGAAATGGAAGACATACAAGACCACTGATAATCTCCCTCGATCTGGGGCTCCACGCAAGATCTCACGCCGTGGGGTCAAAATGATCACAAGAACGGTGAGCAAAAATCCCAGAACCACACGGGGGGACCTAGTGAATGACCTGCAGAGAGCTGGGACCAAAGTAACAAAGCCTACCATCAGTAACACACTACGCCGCCAGGGACTCAAATCCTGCAGTGACAGACGTGTCCCTCTGCTTAAGCCAGTGCATGTCCAGGCCCGTCTGAAGTTTGCTAGAGTGCATTTGGATGATCCAGAAGAGGATTGGGAGAATGTCATATGGTCAGATGAAACCAAAATATAACTTTTTGGTAAAAACTCAACTCGTCGTGTTTGGAGGACAAAGAATGCTGAGTTGCATCCAAAGAACACCATACCTACTGTGAAGCATGGGGGTGGAAACATCATGCTTTGTGGGCTGTTTTTCTGCAAAGGGACCAGGACGACTGATCCGTGTAAAGGAAAGAATGAATGGGGCCATGTATCGTGAGATTTTGAGTGAAAACCTCCTTCCATCAGAAAGGGCATTGAAGATGAAACGTGGCTGGGTCTTTCAGCATGACAATGATCCCAAACACTCCGCCCGGGCAACAAAGGAGTGGCTTCGTAAGAAGCATTTCAAGGTCCTGGAGTGGTCTAGCCAGTCTCCAGATCTCAACCCCATAGAAAATCTTTGGAGGGAGTTGAAAGTCTGTGTTGCCCAGCGACAGCCCCAAAACATCACTGCTCTAGAGGAGATCTGCATGGAGGAATGGGCCAAAATACCAGCAACAGTGTGTGAAAACCTTGTGAAGACTTACAGAAAACGTTTGACCTGTGTCATTGCCAACAAAGGGTATATAACAAAGTATTGAGAAACTTTTGTTATTGACCAAATACTTATTTTCCACCATAATTTGCAAATAAATTCATTAAAAATCCTAAAATGTGATTTTCTGGATTTTTTTTCCTCATTTAGTCTGTCATAGTTGACTTGTACCTATGATGAAAATTACAGGCCTCTCTCATCTTTTTAAGTGGGAGAACTTGCACAATTGGTGGCTGACTAAATACTTTTTTTCCCCACTGTAATTGTATGTGTGGGGTACAGAGATGAGGTAGTCATTCAAAAATCATGTTAAACACTATTATTGCACACAGTGAGTCCATGCAACTTATTATGTGACTTGTTAAGCACAGTTTTACTCCTGAACTTATTTAGGCTTGCCATAACAAAGGGGTTGAATACTTACTGACTCAAGACATTTCAGCTTTTCATTTTTAATTAATTTCTAAAATCATAATTCCACTTTGACATTATGGGGTATTGTGTGTAGTCCAGTGACAAACAAACATACGTTTTTATCCTTTTTTAAATTTGGGCTGTAACACAACAAAATGTGGAAAAAGTCAAGGGGTGTGAATACTTTCTGGGAATACGGTGTCATTTCGGATGCAGCCTGCCCATCTGCATGGTGTCCTCGCTGCTCTATTGAACAATCCTATGTTTTTACCATTTCCATCAGCTGCTAGATAAAATAATCTGTGGTAGAACACTACTCAACGTGCGCTGTCGTATGGTCTTCATAGCACTGTCATATAAGAATGACATAACACGTGATTACCCACATTGCTACACTGACAGGCGTTATGACGTCTTTTAACGGCAGTAGGAAGACTTTATGGTAGTGCACGTGAAGCTAGATATGTTCATGACTTTAGCCAAGCCGCATGAACAGTAT